CCACTGCTGACCCATGGAGTAACCAGCGCTGGGGTACCTTCTGTGGTTGCACCTTGATTAATTTCTTCTTTTTCAAGTTAAGTTTGTAGTTTAGAGATCAGTTTAAGTCCATCTGGTTTGAAATCAGGATATAAAATCAGTAAAAATCATTTTAGAGTGTGACCTCTAGCCCTCAGCAAAGATTATTCCATTATTTCATATGGTCACTTAGCACACATTCTCTGGGGGCCTGCTCTGCACCTGCTACAGTGTTCAGTCCCAAGCATACAAAGATGGATATACTCAAGGTCCCTGCCTCCCTGCAGGTATATGGGGCAAATCACGGTCTGGAGCCCACCTTCCCCAGATCCTATGGCTCCATCACTGACCACATGAGCAAGTTACTCCCCTAGCCCTGTTTCCTCATCTTGTAAATGAGACCATTTTCTTAGGTTCTCTTTAATGCTCCTTTTAGCTGTAATATTGCCAGCCTCTAATTATTGCATATTTTTCTTGGAATTGCATTATTACTGTTTGGGCTCACCATTTACATGTTGTAGTTAAAAATAAATGGGGGGACTCCAGGGTTTCCAGTCATGCATGTAAAAAGCTTGGGAGTCCCCACTTTATCCCAACAATAAGAAAGAAGCTGCACAGACTGAAAAATCAACAACTCTTCTTGGATCCATAGGAGAGGGGAGGACCCAGGGCAAACCACTGCTCCTGAGATGAGAGACATAGACAGGCCAGTACGGGGAGTCAGGGATCCCGGGAGTAGAGACCCTCAGTCAATGCAAGGGAGCAAAGGTAGTCTCTTCCACAAATGCTGCTGGAACAACTGGATGGCCACATGAAAAAAAAATGAATCTAGACCCAGACCTTACACCCTTCACAAAACTTAGTTCAAAATGGATTATAAACCTAAATGTAAAACACAAAACTATAAAACATCTAGATGAGAGCATAGGAGAAAGCCCAGATGACCTTGGGAATGGTGATGCCTTTTTATTTTTATTTATTTATTTATTTTTTAGAGAGAGAGAGCATAAGCGGGGAGAGGGGGTGAAGGGGCAGAGGGAGAAGGAGAGAGAGAATCTCAAGCAAGCTCTATACTCAGCGTGGAGCCCGACGTGGGGCTTGATCTCACGACCCTGAGATCATGACCTGAGCCAAAATCAAGAGTCAAGACTCTTAACAGACTGAGCCACCCAGACGCCCCTGGTGATGCCTTTTTAGATGCAACACCAAAGGCACGATCCATGAATGAAAGAATTGACAAGCTGGACCTTATTAAAATTATAAAACTCCTGCAAAAGACAATTTCAAGAGAATTAGAAAAGCCACAGGCTGGGGAACAAATATTTGCAGAAGACATATCTGAAAAAGGGTTGTTATCCAAAATATACAAGGAATTCTTAAAACTCAACAATAAGGAAACAAACAATGGCCTAAAAAATGGGCCAAAGCGTTTAGCAGACACCTCACCAAAGAAGATACACAGATGGCAAATAAGTATATGAAAAGCTGTTCCACATCATACGTCATCAGGGAAACTCAAAACAGTACAATACCACTGTGCACTTATCAGAATGGCAAAAATCCCAAACACGGGCACCACCAAATGCCAGCAAGGATGTGGAGAGACATGAACTTCCGTACATTGCTGGTGAGAACGCAAAATGGTACAGCTGCTTTACAAGACAGATTGGCACTTCCTTACAAACCTAAACCTATTCCTGCCATATGAAGCAGCAGTCGCACTCCTTGGTCTTTACCCAAAGGAGCTGAAAACTTAAGTCCACCCAAAAACCCGTACATGGATGTTTGTAGCAGCTTTCTTCATCGGTGCCCAAACAAGGAAGCAAGCATTCAGTAGGTGAACGGATAAACAAACCGTGGTCCATCCAGACAGTGGAATAGTATTCAGCACTGAGAAGGCGTGAGCTGTCAAGCCAGGAAAAGACATGAAGGATCCTTAAATGCATATTACCAAGTGAAAGAAGCCAATCTGGAAAGGCTGCACACTATGTAACTCCAGCTCGGTGACATTCTAGGAAAGATGAAACGAGGGAGATAGAAAAAGAGCAGTAGTTGCTGGGGGAGGAGGGAGAAGGTGAACAGACAGAGCACCAGGGATTTTTAGGGTGCTGAAAATACTCTCTGTGATATTACAGTGAGAGATGTGTTCTTGCACGTTTGTCCAAACCCATGGAATGCTGTGAATCCTCAGGTAAACCATGGACTGTGGGTGATTATGATGAGTCAAGGCAGGGTCATCCTTGGTAAAAATGTAGCTCATGGCGGAGGCTGTGCATGTTGTAGGGGAGGGGGCACGTGGGAAATCTCTGGAGCCTTCCCCTCGATTCTGAAGTAAACCTGGATCTGCTTTATAAAAATTAAGTCCCTTTGGGTGCCTGGGTGGCTCAGTTGGTTAAGCAACTGCCTTCAGCTCAGGTCATGATCCTGGAGTCCCAGGATCGAGTCCCGCATCGGGCTCCCTGCTCGGCAGGGAGTCTGCTTCTCCCTCTGCCCCTCCCCCCTCTCATGTGCTCTCTCTCATTCTCTCTCTCAAATAAATAAATAAAATCTTTTTAAAAAAAGGGGGTAGCCCAAGAGGTAAGGCCTAACTTAAGAGCTTCTGTCTCAAATTAAAATTTTTGAACCTCCAGTAATATCTGCCTCTTCTTTTCCCACAATTTCGCTCATATGTTGTTCATAAATCTTAACTCTTAACGATGGGGTTTTGGCTTCCCTGTTAGGTGAAATATTTCATTTAACTTAGCCAAAGCCAGACTCAGAGCAGCCTGGGAATCGTTAGGCAGCTTCCCTTCTTCCCAATACATCAAGAGTCTCTGTATGGTTTCTTCTTGTTTATTTTTAGGGCGAGGAGGAGTTGTTTTGGACTCCCCCGTGGTGGTGGTTAGGTTGCAGTATTGTCTATGTAGCTGGAACATAAGCTGGGATTCGGCCCCTGCTTTGAAGTGGTAACATCATGAATGGCCCATCAGCGGAGTGCGGCCTGGTTCAGCATCCACAGGCCTGATTTCTGCTTGTAATCTGATTACGGGGTTTGAGCTGTTCCAGCCTGCAGCCTCCTGCTCTGCGTTTACTATACTTTCAAGGACACGAGTGCCTGATTGCTCTAGCCCTGGGCTGTGAAAAATCTCAACCCAGTTTTGCTTAGACGGGCTGAAGGCCACGGCTGGTGGAGAGGACCAAGCTCTAGAGCTCTAGAAAGTGAGTAAACTTTCTAGGTGCAACCATGTTCAGAAGCCCAGAGATTGCTGGCTGTCTGGGAGCTTTCAAGTTCCCTGAGAAACAAGGTAAGGCGAGAGAAAGAGGAACTGCATTTGCGGGTTTATTTTATAACGGGATGAATGCCTTGCATCCTCCATTTTACCTTGTATTCTCCTGTGTCCCGTTAGTTATAGTTTCCTCAAAGGACACTTGAAAGATCCTAGTGAGTTTATAAATTAGCTTATTTTGTGGCTGAAAAACGTGAGGTTTTTTTTGTTTTATTTTTTTTCCTATTGTAGGTTAGAGATACTGCTGAACCACGAAAGCCTTTATGCAGGAAAAATTGCAAACTCAGTCACAATGCCCAAACTTTGGGTCCCAGTTCTGGATATGCTGTGCTTTAGCTAAAATAGTTTTCTAAACCGAATGCTATATATATATATACTAAATTATTTCCAGTAGACAGTGGTGTTTGTCTTTTTATTAAATCTTCATGTGATACTCTTTGGAACAAAATGTTGTTTTTGTAGTGGCTTCCTTTTGAGTACAGAGGAAAATGCATGCTTTCCATTTAACTACTGGAGTGGCACCGCGGATTCTGTTCACTGATTGAACAAAACTGAAATGCTGAAGTTATTTTGACCGTCACATGTGAAATTCAGGCAGTCTGTGTCCAAGTCTTTTACAGCACAAATGCATTTTAGGAGGTGATTTGAACAGGCCTCAGCTTCAGGAATTTTCTTCCACAACATTTGGTAGCTTTTTGAACTGAGTTCTCTTTTTTAAAATACATAACAAGATATTTGTATAAGTAGGAAAAAAGCTTAGGTGTTTAGTTGGCATGATACCTTTCATTTTATTATATCTCTCTAATTGGTAAGAATTTCCAAATTCCGGGATTCTGTATGTGTTTGCTGGATAATGACATGTCAGCATCTGGTCTATTTTGTACCTCCTTTTCCTCAGGCTTCTGCCCCCAAATATTAAACAGTAAAAGGCACTCGCTTAGAACTCTGTGTAAGTGGTCTGCTTGTGGTTTTCTTGGTGGACAAATGGTTACTATACCAAAAGCTGTAAAACAGATTACTTGCCATTAGACTGGTATAAATTTGTCTCTGCCTGGTTTTGATTAACTGGTCCACCCGGATGTGTGTTTTTGCTGCATGGGATTGTTACCACCTGTCTTTACATAATACATATCTTATCTTCAAAAATAAAGAAAGAAATTGTTAATTTGATGTGTTGTCTAGATTTTAATGAAGACAATAAAGACAGCGGGCTTGTTCCCCTGCTCCTCATTATCCCCTCCACGCACACATTCTTTAAAGGCATCTCAAACATATCAGGCGATGATGAGTTTCACCGTTTCTGGTTACCTGGACTGAAATTGTTAAATGTTTTTTCTCCTTTTTTTCCCCTGAGTACGTAACTGTGCTGTTCAGTATTTAATTGCTTTGAGTTATTCTTGTAGCTATAACAAATTTAAATGATAGTATTGAACTATGTCAGATTCCCACCCACCCCCCGACCACCTGCAGAGTTATGTTGGCTAAATTTCAGGAGAGGAAGAAAATTTGCGTATGTAAAATGTATGTTGTGGAATTTGATTCTTAAAAGGTGTCATTTTTGTATTCATATTTCTTGTCTGGTTAATGGTTTCCTTTTTCTTAAGTTATATGTTCAAAGGTACTTTGAAGAATTTTTTTTTCATTGGAGTTTTTTTTTTTAAAAAACAAAACTTATTGTGTAGCTATTTCAATGTTACATTTTTTCTTTCCCCTTAGATTTCAACCAGAAAAACTTAAACTGCGTTGGATTACCAAGTCAAAGAAAAGTTTCAAGGTAAAGTGGTCTTTGCGCAAGGAATCATAAGTTTTGAAGATTTGTGGTAGCTTTTAGAATTATTCTCCTAAATTCCTAATTCATGAGTTTGAATGTTTGGCAATATGTTTTCTCCTCAGAGTTTGATTTATTAAAATATATAAAGCAAGCTGACCTAATAGTACGTTCAGCTAAAAAAGATTATTTTTGTATTCATTAATGCTGTTTATGGGAACTATTTACAGATCGGATATAAGTTTGAACCTGTAAAGGGCTATTATCTTTTCTTTCTTGTACCAGCCTCCAAGTGTGGGATGTTCTTTTGCAGTCTGTCCATCAAGTAAGAGAGCTTTTGATTTTTCAAGAAAAACTTTAGCCTTGTTCTTTCCTTCCATCCTTCCTTCTTCCCTCCTTCCCTCCCTGCCCCCATCCAATCCATCTGTCCAGTGAGGTCTTTTTTTTTTTTTTTTTCTTGACACAGAGAGAGAGAGCACAAACGGGGAGCGGCAGGCGGAGGGAGAGGGAGAAGCAGGCTTCCTGCAGAGCAGGGGGAGCCCAATGCAGGACTCGATCCCAGGACACTGGGATCATGACCCGAGCCGAAGGCAGATGCTTAACTGACCCAGGCATCCCCCAGTGAGGTCTTTTAACCGTTCTGCACTTCAGTTCCCTTGACTGCAAGATGTTATGGGTACTAATTTGATTTACCTAATGTGCTAAGACTCTCTGGTACATAATCATTCATATAAGCTCTTGTAAAAATTAAAGTTTGTGCCAAACAAGATAGCTGTATCTCAGATGCTTCTTAGTAGATCACCGTCCCTAATAGATTTTGAGATTTTCAAGTGAATACACAAAGTTATTATCCGTAAGATATGCAGGCATCAATCCCAATGTACATTTCATGATGGTAGAAGGACCCAACCCTGATCTAACCCCTCATTCCACTCAGATGCTTTTGTTCCTAATGTATCGTGTATGACATTGTTTCTTTACTATAAAGGGTTTGCATTTCAATGGCATTGAATAAACAGATGTCCTCATCAGACTGAGCCTTGTCCTGCATTGAAAATGGCATAATTGATCTTGTGAGCACATTAGTGAGATAAAGCCTTGATGGATTGGATCCATGTCTTAGTATCAGGCCACCTAGAGCCGTAATGAGCCAGGGTCAGCAGTAAGGCTGTCTGTCTTATTTAACTCAGGAAATCTTAACTTTTCTGGTGCTTGGCACAGTCTCCCATATTTCTCATCTTTGCCATATTTTTGATAGAATCTAAGGCTTACAGCCTTAGATTTGTTAGTTCCAGCTACTATAACAAAATACTATAGACTGGATGGCTTATAAACAGCAGAAATTTATTTCTCACAATTCTGGAGGCTGGAAGTCTGAGGTCAGGGTGCCAGCATATTGGGGTGAGGGCCCTTTCTCAGGTTTCAGACTGCCAACTTCTTGTATCCTCATTTGGTGGAATGAGCTGGAGAGATCACTGGGTCTCTCAGAGGGGTTGTTTTATTTTAATTGAAGTATAGTCAATCTCTGGGTCTCTTTTTACAAGGACAGTATTCTCATTCATGAAGTCTTTACCCCGTGACCTATCACCTTCCAAAGTCCCCACCTCCTAGTATCATCACGTTTGGGGGTTAGGATGTCAACATCTGAATCTGGGGGAATACAGATGTTCAGACCAGAGTAGCTTAGTTCCCAGTTCATCCCTAGCAGGTTGGTGTAGCTGTAACAGAGCTAGTAAGTGACTCTGAAAAAGGAAGAAGAGGAAAGCATTGCTTACTTAAGGATAGCAGAAGCGTGAACTAGGAGGTCAGACGTTGCAGTAGAGACAGATTCAGAGGGACACAACTGCTCTGAAATGGTGAACAGTATCTCCTCCGGACCCATGCAGATCACAGTCTCCTTGCCATGAGCTAGAGTAAAATAGGCTGGAGATGCAAGCACTTGCCTCCTTCAAAGCAGTCTAGTCAACCAGATGCCAGAGGTGCAAATAGGAGGTAGTGGACTTTGATCTCTCCTATCCTGTAATGTGAACTCCAGTAGAAGAGTGAACAGATTGGAGGGAGCCTTTCCCAGCGTGGGTGCTGACTAATCACTGTCATGGTATAGCCCCATTTTGTCAAAGATAGGCGCTAGTAACTGCAGCCCCATTTTGTCAAAGATAGGCGCAGTAACCTGTCCTCGCTTCCCTAAAATTTCCCCTTGTTTCTACTGCTGGTATTTATTTATTTATTTTTTTTTTAAAGATTTTATTTATTTATTTGACAGAGAGAGACACAGCGAGAGAGGGAACACAAGCAGGGGGAGTGGGAGAGGGAGAAGCAGGCTCCCCGCAGAGCAGGGAGCCCGATGCAGAGCTCGATCCCAGGACCCCGGGATCATGACTGGAGCCGAAGGCAGACACTTAATGACTGAGCCACCCAGGCACCCCTCTACTGCTGGTATTTAAGTAGGTTAATGGGACACATTAAAAAAAAAATTATGGAAGCAGGGAGCAATCTCTTCTTAGATTATTGAAGCAGAGGGAAGGAGGTAGAGTATGTAAAATTTAGTCCTGAAGAGAGCACTATTTCAGAGGAGATGGAAAATATATAAAAGATACAAAAGGTGCTTCTTAATAGTAGAAACTTTTAAAATATAATTCAAAAATCAAGACTGTAGCATTTACTTTAGTTATATATGGAGTTATATATTTCATATTGAATTACAGACTCATGCTTTCAGTTTAGCTGTGGCAACCCATCCATGCCTATGGAGGTTGTCGGGCAGAGACTCCTTGTGCCAGGGGTGATGGTCCGTGAAGAGGAGAGCACCATCCAGCATGCGGAGCTCAGTGCTTTGGAGTCATCTATTGTGTGAGTTAGGCTTGGGCTCCACCAGTCACACTGCTTGGTACCCCTGACTCAAAAAAGTGAGAGGAGGGTGATGTTAGGGCCCTTTGGGGTATTTGTGTTTTACTAGCCATTAGATGATCAGAAGGAGTTACCCTTTCACAAATGTTCCAGAATCCTTTTTTTTTTTTGAGAGAATGTGTACTAGCATATGGCAGGGAGGGGTAGAGGGAGAAGGAGAGAGAGAGACTCTTAAGCGGGCTCCACACTCAGCGCAGAGCCCGATGGGGGACTCAGTCTCACGACCCCTGAGATCGTGACCTGAGCCAAAACCAAGAGTCGGAGGCCTAACCGACTGAGCCACTCAGGAGCCCCTATGAATCCATAATTTGAAATGAGACACTTGCAATATGTTCTACAGATAAGAAACCAGGATACCATGAGAGAAAACAACAGAGGTGCATGATATAGATTCGGTCTGCAGTGAGGCAGGCACTGGGTCAGGGGGTTTCTTCCTTGAGGAACTGACCTTAATCTGAGACCCAGAACAGGAGCCAGACTCAGTCAGGATGGGGAGGAGGGAACTCAGAGTAAACGGCATTTACAGTGAACCATGTTAGGAGCCATGAGCGCGTTTCCTGACAGCATTTGGGTTTTCCATTGGTTCCTGACCAACTGTGAAAAGGCTGTCCTTTTCATTGGTGCTGACACTCTTGTAGCTTGTTTGAAGAAAGTAAGTTTAGGGGCTGTCAGGGGATGACTCGGAAACCCCACTATAGAAGTTCAGAAAAATGTTTAACTGGGGAGCAGTTTCTTAGTCTTTATTAGCAGCTTTTTGATAAGCACAAAAAAGGGGGGAAATAGAAGCCAGCAGATATTTATGTTTGAAAATACGAGATAATATTTGTACCCCAAGGTCAATGGCCTGAGAAACTGAATATTTCAGGGATTGGACCATTTTGTTTTAATATAGAGTTCTTTTCCTGAGATTTGAGTTTCCCGAAGAAAGTACAGAACTTTATCAAGATGTTTATTTACACAAGTAGCTAAATAACCAGTTACAACAGCATGCCATTCTTTAAGTAGGCTCCATTTCTACAGTTATCTAATTCTGTAGGTTTATACTAAGTCCTACATCTGAATAAAACACTGAAAAAGAATTGTCAGTGCATCGTGATTCACTGTTTAGAAGTCAGTGCTAATTCCACATTTCTGACCTAAGCAGGTGTCTTCAAGCCATCTGGAGTGTGGTTTATAAAGACTACTTAATCTCAAGACTTTTTATTAAATAATATGAATACATGGCAGTCATATTTATGGAATATAAACCCTACCACGTTTAGAAAGCAACAAGTAAGATTTCAGATGGACTTGGTTCTGGAAGATGGATGCGTCCCCTATTTTGGAATGTGCGGCAGCTCCTTGAAATTGAATTTATGTATGGGGCATAGATGATTCGTGTGTCCCACTTACCTAGTACGCACAGCACCTTCCTCAGTCCAGTCCCCCCTCACGCTTCTATGGGCATGCACCCCTGCAGAGTGGAAATGCAAATGGAGGGCGAGCCCATGGTGAAGGTCAACTTTGCACTGATCTTCAGCCTTTGCAAGCCTGTCGTTCACCTCTCCGGAGGTGATCGTATCACTGGGGAATATTAGTTTTTCTGTTTTCATGCTGGGTTTTCTTCCTGTGTGGCGGCAGCTCTGTCGTCTTGCCCAACCCCAGGCACGCTCCCGCGGAGGCCCATGGGGTTGGTGCCCCGCAGCCTGGGGGCCCCTGCACACAGTGTGAGAGGAGCTAGGTTCGTATCTCATCCTCGGGCAAACCGTGTAACAGCTTCCTAATCTGCAAACCAAGGATGATGATAGTGCCCGTGGTGTGCTGGGGCCCTCTCGCACCGCCTCGCGAGAGTGAGCGTGTGCCTCTCTTTCAGCTTGGAGTCCAGGGAGTCCTGTGGGAAGCTTGAAAATCGGCCATCGTGGGAGTATTGACACCATCAGCCAAGACCGCAAAGCATGTGCTTAGCGGACGGGGGCAGTAGAGCCAGAGGAAGGAGCCCGTTATTAAACGTTTCTCAGCACAGCACTGAGTGGTTCAGGCCTCATGGGGTCTTACGAAGATAATTAAGATTATACCTGGAATATGCCTACTTAGAGAAGAAAAGTACATAGTGCTTAGTTCCTTATTCTTCCCCCCTTCCTTTCCTCCTCCATTCTAAGCCAAGTTTTCATGAGCCTTTCAGACCTGTTCACCATGCTTTGATTTCTTGGCTGTTTGAAGGCATGTGTTACTTTACCATAATTTCAACCCTGGAGGAAAGCATGTTCATAACCTAGACAAGTTGCTGATTTTCTGAGGAAGAGAAGAACACAGAGAGGTTGAGTGATTAATCCAAGCTTCCACAGCTATGGGCGAGTAGCTCCAGAAGAGGGTGTCCCTCCCAACCGAGGCGTCCAACTCTCAGCTCAGCCATGTTGTTACCCGCTGACGCCACGCCACCTGCCTGTGCTGTTGTAATTCTTCCCTTGCACAAAAAGGTCATAGTAATATAACTATAAATAAACGAAAAAAAGCTACCATTTAACTCCCTGAAATAAAATTTTTACTTGTAATCCACACACATGTATTTCACTATGTATAACAGTCATGTAACTTTTGTTTTGCATTTTTTGCACTTAACAACATATATCTTGATTCACATTGACTTTAAACCTTAGTAATGGAATAATTTAATTTTTAGCTTTCAGAAAGAATTCTGGCTTGAAGATAAAGAACAGCTTGCTAACCACAGAAGAAGAATCGATGCTAAGATTTTAACTGCACTTCCGAAAGGTGAGACTTTCTCTAAATGGCTGACCAGTGTCCTGGGCACATAAGTATTGTGTCACCTGATTTTCATTGAGGGGAAGTCATTCCCTAATCTCCAGTGTATACCCTCCATTGTGTTCCTTTCTGCCTCTTCCAAGAATTAACCTCAATGAAGGTATACCTCCCCTCTTGCGTGTTTCATCTACACCTTTCTCTCTGTCCTTTCTTGTTCATTTTAGGCATCCTTGGGTATTCCCTGGGCACCGGGTGGGGAGGGTGACAGAGGGAGGCAGCATAGAATCAACCTTCATTATCTCTCCTAGCTTTCACTTTCTCCAGGGGCAGTGAGTTTTGCTCATAAGCCCGTATCTACTCCGTCCACTCTGCCCACTCCCTCCGCCTCTTGGTGCTTGCCAGGGTTGTTGCATTTACACTGAGTATCTTAGAGCTCCCTGCCAAGCAGCACGCTGGGCTTCCAGTGCACACTGTACCTTACACATCTCCTTCCCCAGGTAGGCACTCAGATGTTCAGTGAATTAGTATTTTCATTGGGAAAGATGGAAGTGCAATAAAACATTTGCACCTGCCATCAGCAAACTACCCCTGTGTTTTGCCTGAGAAATGATGTAAACATTAACCAGATCTTTGTGTCCACCAACTCTAACACTGGCAGAGGGGAGTACCAGCTCACAAACTGCCTTCATCCCAGATCAGCTGTGTAGCCCTTACTTCAGAAAAAACAGGTTTGATGAGAGGTCAGATTTTTTTTTTCTTTTTTGTCCTCTGAAAGAAAAAAACAAACATGAGATCAAACCCAAAAGAAATTAGACCAGAAAAAAAAAATTCTTTTAATAGAAACTAAATCTAGTTTAAAAGGCCCACTGATAAATGGGCGTACATCCTGAGGAACTGAATAGGTGATATGCTTAGACATAGTCTAATGAGGATGGATATTTGAAGGACCCCAGGGATTTGGCCTTGTGGAGAAAATTTAAACAGGGACATTTTGCAATTTTCAAGTATTTAGAAAACTGTCAACTGGAATACAGACTTATTCCATGTTGCCCCAGAGGCCCTAGAACAAGAATACTGTGTTGAATTACAGGGAAGTAGGTGAGATTTCAAAGGAGAGCGACAGTTCTGATAGTTCGTGGGACCTGCGAATGAAATGGGCTGCATTACGATCTCATTCGCTCCTGTTGGCTGTTCAAGGAAGGTCATAGGCTTCCATGGGAAGGGCACATGCTGTGGGTTCCCGCCTGGATGGCGTGACATGGAAGGGCCCTTCTGATTTTTTAGACTCTTTGTGAAAGACAAAGAAACTCTGGTTAATCTGGGTCAAACTTAACAATCGATGAAGATGATTCAAACAAAGTACAAGAGTGAACAGATTGACTTCAGCAGGATCTTGGAAGATTGGAATGATAGGCAAAGTTCTATAGCAAAAACTGCTTCACTCATCCTCTTCATCTACCCTGGTCCTTTTCTTGGTGAGCAATAGTACTCGCAATATTAGAGTCAGAAAAATTAGAAACAATATATGAGATGTGAGGTTCTTTTCAGGTTCAACAGCTTGTAACTCCACATATGCCAAAATTTAAGAACACGTAAATTGATTAACCAGTTTCATTAGAAAATGTATCATAATTGGTTATAAAAAACTTTTTCACAAATCAAAGATAACACCATGTATTTATCAGATTTATGTTTCCAAGTTCACAAGATCTTCAAAACATGCTTAAAAAGTATCAGAGCCTCTCCTGCCCCGAATTTCGTGTAAATTCCCCATAGTCTTATTTTACACTCCGCACTTTACGAATTCAGGCAGGCATGTTTGGAAAGACCCATGTATTCCCGATAATCTCAGTTCTCCATCTTAACGAATATTTTAATGATTCTGTCAGCTCTTGGCAATATAATGGTGAAAGTGGGAATTGATTACAACTTTTCATGGCATAGAGTTTTATGTCTGTTTATACGTTTACAGAAGTTTCTGTTCATTTAGTGAGGAATTCTTGCTTTTGTGAAATTGAGCATTGAAATGATCATTGGCTTTTTCTGTAAAGGGGCTTCCTTTAACTGTGTATCACAAACAAGTTATCCAAGGGTTAAAAACCTTTACTTATGTAAAGATGATGCTATTAAAATATATTTTCCACTTAAGAATTATGAAATGAACCAAATATATTACTCTACTTTCTTGATAGCTTTCTTGAGATATAATTCAAACAGTATACAATTCATCCATCTAAAGTATACAGGTCAGCAGCTTTTAGCATATCCACAGAGCTGTGCATCCATCACCACAGTCAGTTCTGGAACACTGTCATTATCCCAAAAAGAAATCCCACACCTCTCAGCTATCACCACCCCCCGCCCCTTATTGCTCTAGTTTTGTAATCACTGATTTTATAAGCTGCTTGTCTTTGTATCAGTGGCTGCCATCCAAGTGTAAAAGTTAAAGTGTGTTACTGCTCTGGGAAGTCAGATCTGTTTTCAGGACATTCTGGGTCTGACCTGTGCTCTTAGCCTGTCAAATGCAGGGTGGGAGAGAGGTGTTCTTGGCAGTCCCCTGCCACTTCTGTTTCTTTGGAAGATTCTACTGTACTTGGGTTTGGATGCCTGAACTCAACAATAACTTTACCAGAAAGCCTGTTTCTCTGGGCTTATTAAAGAAGCGGTGTCCCCCAAGAAAACTGCCCAGCAGACCTCATTATGCCGGGTATTGGCATTATATATTATGATAAAGCATGTTAGGCAGTGAAATAACTTAATAAAGTATGATAGGGCGCCTGGGTGGCTCAGTTGGTTAGGCGACTGCCTTCGGCTCAGGTCATGATCCTGGAGTCCCGGGATCGAGTCCCGCGTCGGGCTCCCTGCTCAGCGGGGAGCCTGCTTCTCCCTCTGACCCTCCCCCCTCTCATGTACTCTCTCTCTCTCTCATTCTCGCTCTCTCAAATAAATAAATAAATTAAAAAAAAATAAATAAAGTATGATAGCCCTGATGTCAATTACCCTTAAATTACCTGACTCGGAAAATGACCATCCGATTCCCATCAAAACTAACTAAAGAAATAGACTCATAGAATCTGTATTGCCACAGAAACACCATTCAGAATTACTCAGACAAGGGCAGCAGGCTAAGATAGCAGGTGCAATGAGGAATAATTTAGTATATGTCACAGTTTTAATGTACTTGAAGGCAAAGTAGAAAATTCATTACAACAGAGGTTAGATCAACAGTGCCTGTTTAGATCTGTATTATATGATGACTAGTATTACTAATACTGGAACCATTTATGAATTGTACACATTACGCCACAGCATACAATCAATTGAATTATGACTGCTTAATCCAATTTTATTTTATTTTTTTAAAGATTTTGTTTATTTGAGAGAGAGAGAGTGTGTACAGGCAGGGGGAGTGGCACAGGGAGAGGGAGAAGCAGACTCCCCACTGAACAGGGAGCCCAATGTGGGGTTCGATCCCAGGACCCTGAGATCATGATCTGAGTTAAAGGCAGATGCTTAACCAACTGAGTCACCCAGGTGCCCCAGCTTAATCCAATTAAAAAAATACTCTTATTTCCTGTTTTAAGGAAATATACACTGATGAATTTAGAGATAAAGGAATATTATGCTGCAACTTACTCTTGAATGGTTCAGAAAAATTAATACGTAGGGGTGCCTGGGTGGCTCAGTCGGTTGAGCGTCTGACTCTTGGTTTTGGCTTGGGTCATGATCTCAGGGTCATGGGATGGAGCCCCACGGCCAGCTCCTTACAGGGTGTGGAGCCTGCTTGGGAATCTCTCTCTCCCCTCCCTCTGCCCCATCCCACACTCATGCTCTTGCTCTCTGTCTCTCTCTCTCTCTAAAATAAATAAATAAATCTTTAAAAAAATAATATGTAAATATGTGTACATGCATGCATGTGTATACATATATAACACATGTAAATACGCATATGGAAAAGGATAAAAATAAACCAAATGTAGTAAGTAAAGTATAAACATGTTATGGAACATGTCTTGATTTTTCTGTAAGTCTGAAATTATATAACAGTTGTAAAGAAAAGACAGCTTTTGGTAGATCATAAACAGTACCTGCATTCTGTATTCTGTACCTATATTCTGTATTCTGTATACCTGTATTCTGTAAACTGTATTCAAGACTATCATCCAGATGATACCTGTGGTAGTGCTTTATGAATGAAACAATGGAGGGCAACATAGATTTCCACAGCTGGGGTGACTTCTGTGATTTCTTAGTGTTAGCTCTTTTTTAATGCTTTATAATAAACCTGACCAAAAATTCCAACCAGAGGGCCTAATGAGGACTGCAAGAGCCCAAAAGAGGTTGTTGTTTTTTGGTTTTTTGGTTTTTGTTTTTTTTCCTGGAGAGGGTCAGAAAAAGTATGCACACATCAGCAATTCAAATAAAACCTATTCTCTTTCCTACAACTGAAGTATTTTCCCATGGAATAGATATACTAGAGTAATTATATTGCATGTTTGCTTTACTAATTTTACTTTTAAATTATAGTCTTGGGAAAGGAAGCTTCTCTATTACTTCTTTTGTCTTCCACATCATTTCTTTCCCCTGTAATCTCATGTCTATAGGATTGAAGCAAATCTGGGTAACTGAAAAATAGATTTGTTACAAAGAATAGACTGAGAGGTAATTTGTTTGCTTAAGGGATTTTTTTTTTTATAAGATTCACTATGGATTTCCACTAAGAATGAATAAGCTTGCTGATACATTTATTTATTTAATTTTAAAGTAATCTCTACACCCAGCATGGGGCTCGGACTCACCATCCCAAGATCAAGAGTCGGGTGCTCGACCGACTGAGCCAAAGTGCCCCTAGCTTGCTGATACGTTTAAAGTTTATGGTTTGATTTATGACTTCATTTCACTCCTCAGTAAATAATTGGAGAGGACTATAGCTTATAGGCTTGAAACGGTTTTGAGTTTGAATCTAGGTGTGGTTGAAAAGAATGCAGTCCTGGCTAGTGGTGTCTGTCATTGGGATAACCTAGAGCACAGGCATCTAGGGGCCTGGCTGCTTATTTGAATCTTTGTTCTGGGATTGGTGCTTCTCAATCCCAGACAGTGACGTCCGCAGGGGGCTTTGGAAACAAGTGGGAGCATTTTTGCGTCATGGCAACTGGTAATGATTAGGCATTTGGTAGGGGAGCGAAGGATACTTAACATCCTGAGGTGCAGGACTCACGAAGAAATTTTTCACTCTAAAGGCCATTAGCACCCTATGGCGATCTGTGGTCTGTTCCAGAGCCAACTGATGAGTGTGTGACCCTGAGGAGGTGTACCTGAACATCTCCTAAATGCTATCCTCAGACTTATAGCAGTGAGACTTACAGCATTCACTAGTGGGCTGCCCAGCCTGTTCTGTGCAGAAAAGAACAGAGATCACCATGGACAGTAGGATAACTTGGCTAAACCCCCTGCCCACCTTTTTCCCACTGCCCCAGGCTTCTTGGGGTTCAGTTCCTGGGATGAGTGACTATTCTGACCATTAGCCTATTCCCTTCTTATATTATCTTAGTATTTACAGAATATTGAAACAGGTAGGTAATGGCAGAAGGAGAAGTATAGTTTTGTTGTGGGCATTTGCATAGTCTACCAGCTAGTTGATCATTGCTTCTAGAATATGGGAAATAAAGAATGCCAGGAAAATTTGTCACTTAGCTTTTATACTGCTGGAATCTTTTTTTTTAAATGTCTTTAGTTACATAATTTCTATAGAAAAATTTAAAAATTAAAAATTTAACAAAATAGAAGTGATTTTCAGTCTCAAATTAGGATGAAAAAGTGTATCTTAACTTGTCCAATAGAAGTTATAGGACACTCTGTGCATTAAATTAATATTTTTATCCTTGTCTTAGTCCATTTGGGCTTCTACACCAAAATACCGGGTGGCTTTTAAAGAGCAAAAATTTATTACTCCTAGTTCTGGAGGCTAGATCAGGGATCCAGCATGGTTGGGTTCTGGTGAGAACCCTCTTCTGGCTTGCAGACTGCCACGTTCTCACTGTGCCTCACGTACAAGGGGGGAGGGAGCGCTCTGGGGCCCTCTTCTATAACGACACTAATCCTACTCCTGAGGGTAGAGCCAATCATCTCCCAAAGGTCCTACCTCCTAATATCATCACTTTGGGTGATGGGGATGCATTTGGGTGGGACATGAACATTTAGACCGTAGCATACCTAGTTGAAATAATTTGGGTGGAGGAAATGTCAGTGGTGTTCTGCTCTGTAAGACCCTAGTAATATAGTGTTTCTCAGTTACGAGTTTGACACGTTGAGTCCAAAACCTACCTTTCAGAGCACTTGGAATTTGGTTTCAGTAGCTTCTGGAGCGATCTTATGAAAAATATGGCCCCTTGCTCTTTTGGGGATTAAATAATTAATTGATTCTCTTTGGTTTATATCATCCTTGAAAATATTTTCAAAATATGCACTACCAGTCATTGAAGTTTTATCACCATAATCTTGCTGGAGCTAACTGGTTGACTGGGAAGCCATTATTAGTCAAGCTTCCTCAAAAGGCATCATGGCAGGACGCACCATTACCCTATACCCTTGTCTTCCGAATAGGAACATACTTGACAGTGCAGAGCAAGTGCACCTCTGCCTGCAGCTGCTCTGGTTCCTGGCAAAGCCAGTTGAGGGAGAGGCTCTTTTTGAAGCCAACTATTTTTTTTTTCTTTAATTCAATTAGCCAACCTATAGTGCATCATTAGTTTTTGGTGTGGTGTTCAGTGATCCATTAGTTGCGTATAACCATCTTAACAGAAGTCAATCTAACTGAAATTGTAAGGCAGCTATCATTTAAAAATAAATAAAAACAAGGCTTGTATCTCCGAAGACAAAGGGCAATATAAAAAAGGGTGTGTGTGTGTGTGTGTGTGTGTGTGTGTGGCTCAGAATCATTACAAAACTGACAACTTAAAAAAAGTAAAAAATAGAAATGAAAGCAAGTGAAAGTCAAATTCCAGAATTCAGGGGCGCCTGGCTGGCTCAGTCCGTAGAGCATGTGACTCTCAACCTCAAGGTCATGAGTTTGAGCCCCACATTGGACACAGAGTTTACTTTGTTTTATTGTTATTATTATTTTAGAGAGTGGGGGAGAGAAGGGGCAGAAGCAGAGGGAGAAGGAGAAAGAGAATTTTAAGCAGGCTCCATGCTCAGTGTGGAGCCCGATGTAGGGCTGGATCTCACAACCCTGAGATCATGACCTAAGCCAAAATCAAGAGCTGGACCCTTAACCAACTGAGCCACCCAGGTGCCCCAAGATGTAGAGTTTACTTTAAAACAAAAGGAAAATTAAAAAAGGGGCACCTGGGTGGCTCAGTCGTTAAGTGTCTGCCTTCAGCTCAGGTCATGTTCCCAGGGTCCTGGGATCGAGTTCTGCATCGGGCTCCCTGCTCGGTTGGGGGGTGCTTCTCCCTCACCCTCTGCTGTCTCTCTCTCAAATGAATAAATAAAATCTTAAAAAAAACAAATACTTAAAAAAAAAAAATCTGAGCTTCTCCCTCTCCCTCTGCCTGCCGCTCCCCCTGCTTGGGCCCTCTTTCTCTCTCTCTCTCTGTCAAATAAATAAATGAATGAATCTTAAGGGAAAAAAAAAAGAAAATTAAAAATATTCCAGCATTCTAGTATGCCTCCGTTGAGTTTCTTCTTTGACTCAGCCTTTCAAAGTTCCATGGGCACCCAGGGCTGTCGGCAACACCTCTCCCTGGTATTCCTGGGTCCTCAACAGGAGCCACTCAGATGAGCCTTTATAAATTCATGTGACTGAGCAAGAGGTGAGAAGAGAGACCTTTATTTTCCACCAAATTTGGCCATTTCTCCAAAGAAACAATTATTTGGCCCCTCAGTGATATCCTTATAGACAGTATCTCATGAGACCCTCCCAACCTCAGCAGAACATTTGTCTGCTCATCCAGTGTTGCCAGGAGAATTCGGGTTGTTAACTTTATCCATCATCCACCCAAATTATAGCAAGGAAACAAATGTTAACATTTTGGGGCGCCTGGGTGGCTCAGTCGTTAAGCGTCTGCCTTCGGCTCAGGTCATGATCCCAGGGTCCTGGGATCGAGCCCCGCATCAGGCTCCCTGCTCTGCGGGAAGCCTGCTTCTCCCTCTCACACTCCTCTTGCTTGTGTTACCTCTCTCGCTGCCTCTCTCTCTGTCAAATAAATAAATAAAATCTTAAAAAAAAAAAATGTTAGCATTTCCTTCCAGCGAAGCCAGTAAGGGGAGGCTTCGGAACTGTGTTAACCTAAACTGCAGTAAATGGCTCTATGCTCCGTTAGGGATGGCTGGAAACAATCAGCTGGTTACAGATTTTTACAGGCTCAATGATAGCATGAAATAGGAGTGTGGGGAGACACGATGGTTGTAGCTTACTGATGAGTGTCTGGAGGTTCTAGTGCTGATCTCTACTTTTGCAGACGTTAGAAGTTTTCCATAATGAAAAGCTTGGAATACTTTATTGAACCTAGTAACAATCAAAAACAGCTAGTGAGATATCTGCTAGCTGGAGAGATCTTAATGTTCAGGCCTCCTCTGACTCCCTTGGATGAAACAGAACTCATTCCTGTTAATCCATCCCTTACTTCTTAGTGCAGTCTGTGACGTGTGTGTGTGTGTGTGTGTGTGTGTGTGTGTGTACGTACATGCTTCCCATGTGGCATCTGCCCTCTCACACTAGAAGACAGTCTCCAGGAAAACAGGAACTGCGCCAGTTTTGTGTATCTCTGCTGCACGGGAGCCAAGAACAGAAACATAAGTTCAATAAATATACGTTTCATGAATGAGTAGAATGAATGCATGACTACTGAAATCTGGAGTATCTTTTTATTCTTCTCTGTTTTATTTTAGTTGCAGAATTAAGAAAAGTCTTTGAACCAAAGAGGAAAGAATTTTTAGAAATGAAAAGGTAAGAAATGGATTATACCTAATTAGAAAGTAGAAGCGCTACTCAGTGAAGTAGTATCCACTTTTTCCTGAGAATTGATAGTTTTTGGTGTCCTGCACAGAAAAGAAAGAATTGCCAGGCGCCTGGAAGGAATCGAAACGGACACGCAGCCTATCCTCTTGCCAAGCTGCACGGGGTTAGTGACGCATCGCCTGCTGGAGGAAGACACGCCCAGATACATGCGAGCCACAGACCCGGCCAGCCCCCACACCGGTGAGCATGCTCGCCTGGTCGCTGCCATCACGCAGGCTGCCCGACATGGTCCACGCAGCCTTTTTTATCCAGTGGCATTGGGAAATGAGATATTCCACAAACGGGAATTATGTAGATGTACTTATTGAATACACGTTATTTGTGAAAAGCTGCGATGATGCGGATGCCCCGCCTCCTAGGTGTGGTCCTCTGGTATCAGAGCAGTAAGAAATAATTCCTCTTGGCCCACTGATGGGAAACTGATGACGTCATTTCATTCCCCCACTCCCCAGCCTGGGACCCCCTAAAGGGCAGGAACTGTGTCTCCCTCTTGGCACCTTCTGGGCACTGGCACAGGACCTGCTGTCTGAGATCCTCAGTAAGAGTTCACTAGAGGACTGAACGAGACTCCCTTAAACAGAATAACCAGGTGCCCGGCACAGGGCCCGGCTGCTCGCAGCAGGGAGCATTAAAAGTGAACCTGGACCTTGAGTGGTTAGGGCTCAGTCTATGTGTTAATGCAACAAACATTCTATTTAAATTATTTGAATGTAAATTATTTACATGTCATTTAAAATGTATTGCATATTTATTTCATATTAAACCGTATTTCAAACATAACTTTTTTTGTTTTTGATAACTGTCAACGTTAGGAATATCAAATATTCAACTTGACCTTGGAAGAGGATGACCCATATGGGGATGTTCTTCCTACCCCGTCCCTGGCTCTGCAGCTCCGTGCTGCTGCTTTTTATGGCCAGTGTTTTCTAGTTTCTTCCTCAGGGATTGGCTGTCGATCTCACTTTGTGATGTGATCATGTCACTTATCTAGAGTTCCTGATCTTCTATGGCCAGAAAACTAGAGAATTAAGAATTTTTAAAATTACATGAAGAATCAAGAATAGAGTACCAAAATTTATAGCCAGAAATGAACCCTCATTATGTAAAATGTGTATCTATATATCATATAATTTAAGCATCACATATTCGTGAGAAAGGGAAGACTTATTTAATAAAATGGTACTGGGAAAACAGGTTATTGTGCAGTGGGAGAGGGGACATATACGAAACACAAAAATAAGTCCCAATCACATGATTAATTTTAAGAAAATAAAAACATGAAAACATAGGTGACTATTTCATTCAAACTGAATGAAAAAGGACTTTCAAGATGCAGAAACAGCTGGAGAAATCACAAATGACCAGATCAATTGACTTGACTACATAACAATTCACATCTGTACTCCAAAGAAAATCTTACACATAGACGTCACAGAATATTATACAAGTTTGAAATATTCATGAATAAGATTAAGGTTCATGGTCTCATAAAAATGTATGCAAACCAATAAAAATGACACTATGAATCAATAGGATATAGAGCTTAAATAAGCTTTATCAGATATTCCAGAGAAGAAAAAAGTAATACAAATGGCTAATAAATAAGTGAAAAACGCACATACTCTCTTTTTCTAGTAATCAAAGGAAATTTTTAAAATGAACACTTAATGTTTGCAAGTGAACATATATTGCAGATTCAAGTGTAAATTGATGTGAACTTTATAGAAATCAACTTGACAGTCTAGCAAGTCTTTCTGTTACTTTTTGTTAAAGCGATTATACCTTTATCTGTTGTGATAGTAGTCAGAAAATCAGACTGATTAAAAGTTAGAAATAATGAAAAAAAGTGTTAGAAACAATGTAAATGCCCAGGAATATGAGAATGGTTAAATTAGTTATGGAATGCCTATTACGTTTGGCAAATTATCAATTTATTATTGATTATTATATATTAGTGATTACTGGTAGAGTTTTACCTTCCTATGTTTTCATGTTAGACATTTTCTGTATCAAGCATGTGTGCTACAATTGGAAAAATCCACTTCTGTAAAAAAAAGAAGAAAAAAAACAACACACATGAAGAACCTGGTACTTACAGATATGGCCCATTGCCGTTCTGGTTAGTATCAGATCCTGCGAAACCACAGTCTGTCACTTGTCAAGTTACAGTGGCTTAGATATCTGTTATCTTTTCTAGAGGACTCTGAACTCATTCTCTGGCCTCGCACATGAAATATTAAGCTCAAAAACAGAAAGGTAAATAAATAAGAGGCGGCCAGCTGGGAGTGAGGAGCGGAGCTTCCGTGGGGGCGGGGCGGTAGGTGGCTTGCGGAGCCTCGAGGGCTAGCGGATTTCACTGCGGGTCTCGCACTTCTTGCAGCCCAGGTGGTTGCTGTGGCTAGGTACAGCTGTGTGAGAAGGGGTCCTCCGCAGCACGGGCGCGCAGGTGCGTGCTGTGCACAGAACAGAGCGCGGTAAATGTGCATCTGTCCTTGAACTCTGTTGTGTGGTCCCCTTGCAGGCCGGTCCAATGAAGAGGAAGACGCTTCGGATTCCTCGGTGGAAAAGCAGACCCGCTCCAAACTCTGCACCGAAACCTCGGGCATCCATGCTGACTCCTCCTGCGGTTCAGGTCTCATGGACACCCAGGCTCTGGAGTCCAAAGCTGAGAGAATCGCACGGTACAAAGCAGAAAGGAGACGGCAGCTGGCCGAGAAATACGGGATAGCGCTGGATTCCGAAGCGGACTCGGAATCGCCCTCCCGATACACCAAGTCCAGGAAGGATGCTGATGCTGCTGACAAGAGGGGAGGGAAGGGTGACCGACAGGCCGAGCCAGGCAAAGATTCGAGCTCTCTGTACTCCAGGCCCTGCGTGGTCGAAGCCAAGGACTATGCCCTCCCCGGGGGCGACGGTCTTTCCGACACCGAGGTGCTGCTCAACGTGGAAAACCAAAGGCGGGGTCAGGAGCCCAGCGCCACCGGGCAGGCCCGTGACCTGGCCCCCACGGTGGAGAGTTCCTCATCCTTTCCGTTCCCCGGGCGAGACTGCACCTTCAGTGAAGTGCCAAGGTCCCCAAAGCAAATGCACAGCATGTCCCTCTCTTCGCCTCGGCCACCCGCCTCCCCGAGCCACTCAGCGGGCGACCTGCCGCTTCCGTCTGAGGCCCGAGCCAGGTAAGCGTTCAGCCCACGCTGGGCTGCGTTACCATCTTTGCTTTGCCTCCCCTGGTCAGGGTCTGGGTATCCTTGGCATTCTGTGGAGGGTTCCGCAGGTGGCAGAAAGAGGTGAGATAGGGTTTTTTAAATTTCTGCAATATCAAAACAGGTTCTGCCTAAGCAGGAAGCTTCAGCTTCTTCTTTTTAAAAAATGATAAGCTGAACAGGTGTCATGGGGACACTTCCATGGGAGCCTCACTTCAGGACCCTTCTTTTTACATGTTTCTTATATGCCTTTAATAATTGTCTTTCTCTTTATGTGTTTCTCTATAATTATACCCGACTTCTTAGTGATTGGTTTTGTTGCTGTCATTTAAAATCACAAAGCGAAGGACCACCACTAACACAGTGGAAGGATCTCAGTTTAGGATATGAAGTATGACTGCAATATACCCTGAATATAACCTTAACATATAGCTATGCAAGTATATCAACATGCTGAGAAAACAGCTGTGTAGAAGAGCACCTCATTAAAAAGAATTGTCATACACAAAGACAACAGCTCTCATTTGGGAAAATCAGAAAAGGTATAAAATCAGAAACTCAAATGCCAGAAGAGAATATTTGTTCCTAAACTTAAATTTCTAAATTTAAGTTAAATTTAAATTTCTAAATTTAAAATAAAATTATAAATTTCTTAATTTAAAATAATTTTTTTAAATTTCTAAATTTGAACTAAATTTTCATTTTAAATTAAATTTAAATATTTAAATTTAAGTAAGATTTAAATATTTAAATTCAGTAAATGTGATGACCATATTCAAAATGCACTTTACTTAAATATCCTACTTTAAAGTTTGGGGCAATTGTCTAGGTAGACTCCTAAGTTTGGGGCAGTTGTCTAGGTAGACTCCTAAGTATTTTCAGTCCAAATAGGCATTGGCTTCCCAGGTGAATTGAAGAGAGGTGAGGATCAAGCAAATTTATTCTGGGGAAAAAAAAAAAAAGGAAAGAAGAAGTATTGGGAAATACTCCTATTTATTTCACACTAGGACAGAGCGGTAAATGTGGGCCTCTTTAGGTGGCAATAATATAACTAAAACAGATCATTTTACTTATTCAAGTTTATTGAGTCAAAGACCTGTCCCTACTTAGTTGATTATTCACTCTAATATATTTAGAGATGTTAGCATCTTAGAGAATTAAGTACTATAAAACCTGATATGGGGTCCTGAAGGCTTTTGTTTAAGCCTTTGGACTCTGAAATTTTGGGACTGTGACCTGTTGTCTCTTATTTTGAAATGAAAGTCTGTTGTTTGGGAAACCTGTATTTCATAGTAGAAAAAGTGTTCTTGCCTTAGTCTCTATCAAAGCAAACTCTTCATGTGCTTTGTAAACAGGGTAAAGAAAGCTGACAGTCCAATTTAGAAAGGAAATTAGATATTTACAATTACATGTGTTTAAAGAAAATTCAGAGACTAATTTCTGATTACCATATTATGAAAACTTGAGTTGTTAACATGGCATCCAGGTTAGTCATCTAGATCACATATAATAGATCCTGAGTGAGATCCTGAATCAGTTTAATAATAACTAAAACTTGGTTGAATGCTCCAGGTAAAAAGATAGGATACTTAATAGTTTTGTGTGAATTAAAATCTTAATATTAAAAAACATCTATAATGTAAAATTTTAAGAGGTATTTCTTTCTCAATTATTTGAAGAAGCATATTACTTGGAAGTTTCCATAAGCCTAATCTCAGCCTCTTAGCACTTGACTTTCACAAAGAGAGGATTAAAAGAACTAAGAAATTGTAAAGGAATTCTTGAGGAGGCACATGCTTTATTTATGTATTTTTTTTAATTTAAAAAAGGCACGTGCTCTTTTTTAAAGCCATTCAAGGCATGCAATTCTATGATTTAGAGGCAGAGAAACACAAATCATTTCATATATATATTCAGAAAATACTGAGATATAGTTACATTAAAAAGGATGGAACATAATGTGTAACAAGTATGACATTAAAAGATAAATAAAGATAGAAGAAACAGCATGGAGGTTCTTCAAAAAGTTAAAAATACCCTACAGTCCAATAATTGCACTAGGTATTTACCCCAAAAATACAAAAACATTAACTCAAAGGGATTCATACACCCCTACATTTAGAGCAGCATTATTTACAATAGCCAGATTATGGAAACAGCCGAAGTGTCCACTGATAGGAGAATGGATAAAGAAAATGTGGTGTGTGTGTGTGTGTGTGTGTGTATATATGTATGTATATATATATATATATATGTGTGTGTGTATATATATATAATGGAATGCTATTCATCCATAAAAAAAGAATGAAATCTTACCATTTGTAACAACATGGATGGAGCTAGAGAGTATAATGCTTAGTGAAATAACTCAGAGAAAGACAAATACCATATGATCTCACACATATGTGGAACTTAAGAAACAAAACAAAAGAGCAAAGAAAAAAGAGGGGAGGGGCAAACCAAGAAACAGACTCTTAACTATAGAAACTATAGAGAACAAACTGATGTTTGGGTGGGGGGATGTGTGGGGGAATGGGTGAAACCAGTGATGGGGATTAAGAGTACACTCATCATGATGAGCACTGAGTAATGTATGGAATTGTTGAATCACTATATTGTATACCTGAAACTAATATAGCACTGTATTGTAAAAAAAAAAAAAAGGATTTATTTGTAATGACTACAGCAATTCATCTTGCAAAGATGGATTTAAATGAATTAATATTCTGCATAGATATCCTTTCTCTAGAGCCAGGAAATTTGGGTGTCAGAAAGCCATTGTTGTCTGATTTCCATTTGGGAGGAAGAAAGACAAAACATACTTTGTGAATTATAACAATAACCAAAGAAATCTCAGTGTCTGAATAACCATAAATGAAAATGCAATGTCATCCAATATGGAAATAAGTAACAGAAAAGTTTAGGGAGATTAAGGAGTAACCAAAAAAACTGTCTACAGATAATGAAATTATTTTATACTACATGTATTTGTGGTGTACTATACTCTCTCATCACCTAGCTCTGCCAAGTATTGGGACTATTAATCTCTGAATTAACTCATTCCCATTTCATCATTTTATTTTGTGCTCACTAGCAAGAGGCTGGTTTTTTTTTCATTAATTATATATGAATGTGTCACTCACGAATACACCATCAAAGACTTCCTTGGGGCTCCTGGGTGGCTCAGATGGTTAAGCATCTGCCTTCAGCTCAGGTCATGATCCCAGGGGCCTGGGATCGAGCCCCACATCGGGCTCCCTGCTCAGTGCAGAGCCTCCTTCTCCCTCTCCCTCTGCCATTCTCTCCGCTTGTGCTCTCTGGCTCTACTCTCTGTCAAATAAATAAATAAAATCTTAAAAAAAAAAAAAAAAAGACTTCCTGTGGTATCCTAAAAATTCAACTATGAACCAGACATCAAATGCACGGTTTTTGTATGTATTCATATACACTAACACATGTACAAACGGAATAGTCATTATACAGTTAAGAGCATTCTAAGCTCATAACAGTCTTGAAGGCTGAGCAGTAAGTTTAAATTTATTAGAATTATTTAATGTTCATTTGAACATTTATATGATTAAGGAAATACATATGTCACAGGGTCTTTAGCTCAGAAATCCTATAGCTGACAGGGAGTTCAGGTAAACACGTCATTCTGAAACAAATGGAGAATATGTATATTCACAGAATAGAGCCTAAGACACCTCCTAATCCCCATTCCCCAATCCTGCCAAGCCCCTTCAATTTTGAATTTCAGAATTGTGTTTTCTAGAGAGGGAGTTTTGCTGATAGGAACCATTCTTTGTTAATTCAGCCATTGTGAATTTTAGAATAAAATTCAAAGGGATCTGGGGCCTGTGGATTATTCAAAAATTTGTTTAAAGTCTTTCTTTCTTTCTTTCTTTCTTTCTTTCTTTCTTTCTTTCTTTCTTTCTTTCTCTCTCTCTCTCTCTCTCTTTCTTTCTGTCTTTCTTTCTTTCTTTCTTTCTTTCTTTCTTTCTTTCTTTCTTTCTTTCTTTCTTTCTTTGACAGCAAGACAGCGAGAGAGGGAACACAAGCAGGGGGAGTGGGAGAGGGAGAAGCAGGCTCCCCTCGAAGCAGGGAGCCCGATGTGGGGCTTGATTCCAGAACCCTGGGATCATGACCTGAGCCGAAGGCAGATGTTTAGGGACTGAGCCACCCAGGTGCCCGGATTACTCAAATTTTTAAAAATCTGAGCTCCTGTTACTAATAGAAATCCTGAATGCTGAATTTATATTTCTTAGTTAATAAAAATAAAAGAAATGCACCATATTTGTTACTTCTGTGAGTAACAGGAACTCACTACCTGAGCCCCACACCTGCTGTTTTCCTGTGACTCCCTGTTCTCAGTGACCTGTGTATTGGGCAAAGAAGAAAATTATACCTTGTTTCCCAGTGGTGATCCATTCTAGAAAACCCCGTTTGTTTCCTGACTCCACTTCTGTCCCTGCCCCTCCTTCTCCCACTTAGCAAATTGTATCATTAGAAAATGAATATGGTATGTAGAGCCGTCCCTGAAATTTGACCCCTGGAGAGCCGCCATTGGTCAGTGGTGCTTTGGACCGGGGTCTAGTGACATGAGACCTGTGGATCGGCTCAGGAAGATAGCCCGGGGCAGCCTCCACAGTGCCATTTTCCGAGACCTGCTGACAAGCAGAGTCAGCCAACTGAGAAGCAAAGGGGCTTAGGCTATGCCCTTGTAGTTTGTCACTGATTGTATTTGCTCAGCTCCCAGGGAGAGGTTCAGCCTAAAAACTGTCTTCAGAGCCTCAAGCTCATTGTTTTCCTTGTCAAACGTCTTTTAACCTGCCTGATAGAAATGTCCACAAGGGAGTGATAGGGAGGGAGAAAGCGGTCTCTGGCTGTAGGCATTCCTGTCTCAGCCCCTGTCCACCCCCCCCACCCCCCGCCACCCCCGTCCCCACCCCACCCCCCAGGGCAGGAGTGTTCCT